AAACGTAATATGTTTTTTTATCAATGTTTTGATTGCCTTTTTGCCCTTGACATCAAATGTGCTTTACTTTCACATAAGGTTGGTGAAAGTATCTATGAGTTCAAAGATGATGACCACCAACTTCCATTCATCTTCCTCGAAAATCATAAGGATCAACTTAAAAAAGTTGATTGCTTTTGCTGTCACCAATCATTAATAGATTCCATATATGTTTCTGTTGAGTGCAAACTTTACCTTCATAAAAAATGTTTTAGTCAGTTCACTGAAATTGATCACCCTTGCCACCGTTTGCACACTCTCGTTCTTCAGTTTGGTGAAAGCAATTGTTTTTGCGAGGTATGCCAAAAGGAAGATCATCATAATTTCTTTTATCGTTGTTTTGCTTGCAAGTTTGATATTCACCTTAAATGCATTTGGCCAAGACCTATTATTGAGGCAAATAGGTATCATGAGCACCCATTCACCCTGTTATTTAGAAGTGATTTATTCATTTGTGATGCATGTGGCACCAATGGAAAGTTTGTTTCTTATGTATGTCTTACATGCCACCTACACGTCCATAAGAATTGCACTTCATTGCCGCTCAAAATCAAAGTTTCACGACATGATCATGTTGTGGTCCACAAGTATTTCTTTAAAAAAAGGGAACTTGAAGAACATGAATGCAAAATTTGTTTTGAAGAAGTGAAAACAGAGTATGGAAGTTACCATTGTTGGAGGGAAGATTGCAATTATATTGTCCATGTGAAATGTGCGACAGAGGATGATCGCTTGTACTACATTATTGATCAAGAGAATCAAGACGAGGAGCCCGTGGTTTCTTCCATCAGCTGTGTTGTTGAGGTGAACGAGCATGGAGAAGCTGTAAAGATCTTTAAACATTTCAAGCATGAACACAATCTAGTGTTTGAAGACAAGATCAAAGAGGATAGTGATAGACATTGTGATGGGTGCATGCTATCCATCTCAACTCCGTTTTATTATTGTTCAGTGTGCAATTTCTTCCTTCACAAAACTTGTGCAGAATTACCCAAAATTAAGCATCATTGGTATCGTCGATTCCCCTTCACCCTCGAAGCCAGGGATTTTTTGCGGTGTAAGTTGTGCTATCGCTACTGTAGCGGTTTGTTTTACATTAGTGGACGCTTATACTTTTGCCTAAGGTGTGCTACAGTTCCTGATATCATCAGACGTGAAGGACACGAACATTTGCTCTTTTTTGATTATCAACGCAAGAGGCAATGCAGTGCTTGTGGTGTCGGTGGTGGGTATGGTGCATTCAGATGTAAGGAGTGCAGTTTTTCTTTGGATTTTGCATGCATGACATTACCGCAAGCAATTCAGCACAAGTGTGATAGTCACTTACTTAAACTTACTTATCATGGTGAGAATGCTGATGCAGAACAACATTACTGTGATGTTTGTGAAGAAAAACAGAACCCAAACCATTGGTATTATTACTGTTCAACTTGTGATAATTCTGTTCATCCTAAATGTGTTCTTGGAGAATATCCATTTCTCAAGGACGGTATCACTTGGAGGAGTGTTGTTCTTAGCACTCAGAGGAGTGGTGTTTTTCACGAACACAGTGACGATGTCATATTTGTCCATAAGGTTGATGGCTACCCTGAATGCGCTGCTTGTGGTAAGCTTTGCCAAGATGAAGCTCTCAAGTGTCCTAAATGCAACATTATTGTCCACCACAAATGTCGATGGATAGGAAATGGTAAATGGTAAGTAGGAGGGTCGATGTAAAAAGCTGTTTTAGGTTGTTGATCAGTTAATATTGCCATTATTAATTATATGATATTATTCTCTTTAGTATTTATTAGTATCAATTAACTTTAATTTTGTCTTGATGATTGCAGTTGAGAAGAGTTGTAAGAGGAATGAAGGCATGCAGGCACGTGAGTGGTTCTTCTGCTGGCATTTGGGACACCATATATATTGGGTGATGAATTGGATGGAAGGTTTGAGTTGATGATGATGAAGATGATGTTGGAAAAAATAAGGCAAATTGATCTAATTAATTAAATGTTTGTTGTTGTAAGTGTTGCTTGATTGGGATTGGGATTGGTCTGTAAGATTTGATTTCAATGTTGACTTTGCGTTTGCCTATGATTTGATTTGTTTTTGTTTGGGTTTGAATTGAATGACATTTCTATTTGGATTGCTTCTTTCTTTTTATATACGAGGCTTGAGTTATGCAACTTCTTTGTTAAATTAGTTCTATTGAATAAACTGCTACTTTGAATTTTTCTTTGACAACTTCTACAAAATTATTCAAGAATCAAATTTAAATACTAAATTTGTTTCATAAAAGCGGAAATTATTACGTTCCGTTTCGTATAAAACATGTGGCTTCAAACACCCATTAAATGTTACGTTTTTTTTTTTTTTTTCATTTTTACTTTTAAAAAATAAACTTGTTCAAACTGCATAAACATAATGTATATAATGAAATATTCTTTCACTATTAATTTTATTCAAAAATAAAAGCTCAGTGACAAATTGAACCCAAATGAAATTATAAAACAGGAAAAAATTACTTTGACTGTGAAAATGAAAGTGATGGCTTTATGAAATTATATAACCGAAAAATATTCTTTCATTTGTATATTTTTTTAATTCAAGTCGAATGGCATGATAGCTCCACTCTACCCAATAATAAGATCTCTTATCCATGTCAACAGAAATAAAAAATGGTAAATTAAAAAAAAAAAAAAAAAGCACACATGCACATCTTGTGATTAAAAGGCCACATAAATTTATCCTCTTTTTAAGTTTGAAAACAGACACCTTATCATCTTAAGTTTATGATAAATTGGACTCTTTACTGTCATATTTCTTCCCTTGATTTTCAAGTCTAAGAAAATTTGAGATATATGACGCTGTAAAAAAAAAATTAATTATATGTTTTACCTGAATTGTAAAAATATATATATAAATTGATACTTAAAGAAATAAAATATATAATTTACATAACAAATTTTTAAATAATACATTATTTTAATCCAAATTCTAATATTATTCACTTAATTAACTTATATGATATATAACTAGTATAATTTTATTATATATTAAAATTCTAATATTGTTAATTTAATTTACCTATATAAAATCTAACTAATATAATTTTGTTACATATATGTTATTTGTTAAATAAAAATATTAAATATTTTGTAACAATCTTTATGTTAATGTCACATGATAAAAAATTATTGATCGATCTTAAACAATTTTTACGATTTAAATAAAAAATATTTTTTATTTAAATTGAAAAAATATTGATAATATATTTTATAAACACATAATTTGATAATATTAATCAAACACCATATATATATGAGTTGATATGATAATATGGTTAGGAAAATTAGAGTTTCAATTTATATGACACATAATTTAAAAATTCATGTGCAAATTGTATACTTTATTTATTTTTAAGTATTAATTTGTACATTTTTTTTCAAAATTCAAGTACCAAAAAGTGTAATTAATTAAAAAACGTAAAGTCAACATTTTAACCAAAAAATACAGAAAAAAAAATATTTATTCCGCTCTCGACAAAAAGGTACGAAGTGAGTTTTTGTAGTTCAAATTCGCATTCCCTGACAGATTTCAGAAGCGAACATGTTTGATAACCTTGTGAAGATGGAAGATATCTAATGAAATGGAGAAGGCTTGGAAGAACCAGCTATGGAGGGCGGAGACAAAAAGAAAAGAAAAATAAAGGACGAAATTTTATTTACGCATGAATGATGAATCAATGATGCCAATTGTTATTCCAATTATACACCGCATAGTGTTCCACATAATCAGAAAAACACCAGCAGCAACAACAACTACAGATTGGAGCCTTTAATTGACATTGGCTCTCTTAGACCTTACCAGTCATTCTCTTCTTTCATCTCCCTACAGTATTGAGTATGCATGGATTACCTCCACAATAGGTGCTCGGCACAATGGGCATTTCCCTCCACCACGAACCAACTAATTCGCACATTTTGAACATGTGCACATGTGTCCACATCTGCAACCAATTTTTTTAATGTAAAAAACAATTGGGTTGTAATCACATATGTCCATACACCAGTGCTAGATCTTGATTTAGAGAAGTTAAGAAGGTAAACCTGTTCAAAAGTGAATTGATATGGTTATCACAACAAACACAGCAAGTCCCTTTCCTCACATGACCCCTGTTAGATCCATCCTCGGATGTTTCTGCACTCAAACCTGTAATGCAAGTGAAATTTTTTAAAAACAGAAACAATCAAAACTATCTCATGGCACGGATAAGAAAAACCAAAATAATGCTTCGAAGGAAACAAAAGTTGGGAGGATTTACAAACCTTTTTCACCAACCTATCTATTCAAAGCAGCAGAGACTTCGTGCCTGACAGATCACTTTAACTCCAGCTGCATATACATGCAGGCTTCCAACATCCTCTGCATGTGGCTCATGACCTGCTGGAGTCTTTGCCATACCAGCTCTTAGATCATTAACCATCTCCCATTCATGCTCAAACTAAGCATCCTCATAAATAACTTAAAATATGCAGAGTAATAAATAGTACCGTATAGGGACTCAAAAGTAAGATATCTGGGCCAATTTCTGGATAAAATTCAGAAACTATTAAACAAGCCAAGACTGACAACCCATAATGATACAAAACAAGCAACATAATTAACAAAAGTTAACAACCACAATTAGAGGGCGGTAAAATTCCTGATACACAATTCAATTTCTTATCCAACAAAATGTCTCTCCAAATGGAATCATTTCCACAAATAATTTTACCTTCGGCATGAAACTCACAACCAGAATGCCTAAGGCTCACCTCTATAGGTTAAAATTTATTCCAAGAGAACTTAATACCTAACACAACACTCTATAAAGAACAGAAAGGAAATGATTCAATAGTTATGGTAATATACAGTTGCAAGACCAAAAAAGATGGCTCACAATTTCTCATCTGTGCATGCTGTGCCTAGACCAGCTAGTGTGATGTAAATCCTGATGCCGCAGCAGTTGTGGTGGTGGCACTGGAGAAGAAGGTAGCAGTAGCACCAATGAAGGCCTGTTAATAGCATCATTCTGATCATTATTTGTTTCATCCCTCCGCTGCTCCAGATCACACTCCAGTGGGGCTCGAGTTGGCAAGTTTCTATGCAGATCCCAATCAATGGAAGAAGGACCCTGTCTTTCCACATCAGACTGTATTAATTGTTCTAGACTTTCCTGGAAACCACTTCGAAGAAGATTAGAGACACCTACAAATTAAATTATATCAACCATCAAAGAAGTTACATTTTACTCTAAGCATAAAAAAAACGATGTAATCAAATACCTGCTCAGAAGTTCTCTAAGTTTCATATCATACACATTATCATCTTCAGGTGGATGAAATCTATTGAACCTGCTCAGAAGTGCTTTGGAGAAATTAATCGGGATAAAAGTATAGACGTGTCAAAATTGTATCGCATATATCATGTAGTGAGTCATTAAATGTTAAATTTGTGACTGCAACAAAAACTTAAGACACTTAATTAGGGTGACAGTTCCATTTATTGATTTGTTGCTGGCTACATTGATGTTAGTAGTATTTTACCATGAAATACTAGCTTCTTGGTGCTCTTCTCAATTCGACTTCCTGCTAATCAAATAAACAAAAGGAAAAATGGCATTCATTCATATTACACTACAATAGCCAATTCCAACTTATGGCCATTAGAGACAATCAAATGTACACAAACCAGGGATATATGTGCACAATTTAGTTTAACTCATACAACGCATCACGCTCCTCGGACCACCTTTTCTTTTTGGGTTAGCACTGATCATGCAGGAGAAGGCATTGACAAGTTCAGAATCCTCTTCGGTTGTCAAAATTTTGCTGCATTTGGGTCTGCAAACACAAGTTTTGCCAGAAGATATCCTGTGATAGACAAGGTCTGGAACAAACATAATTGTTTTCCAACAAACCTTGCTTTTTTTAGTATCATACTACTCAGGCCACTTGTCCCTAGATATGCATTTCTCAACAATTGAAACGGCTGTTGCAGCAATTTCTGGTATTTTCAAGTATCAGAATTTCATACTTTGATTGCCAAGCTTAAACTCAAACCAGTCATTTATTTTCTTTCCCATTATTTCTCTTTTATTTTTTGCAGCCACCAAAGCCATGTCATTTTTAGGCATCCAAAACCTAAATTTAACACTAAAACTTCCTCCTTTTTTTTCTTTTCTCCCCATCCTTCACAGCCACTTCTCTCTCATTATAAATATAATATATATATGTATGCGAAGCATAGTGGATAATGCTCCAATACCTATGGCTAAAAGTTTGGCAGACTGGTATACTACAAGTCATAATGGACCAAATGTCCTCAGCATCTAAATTTTTTCCTCCTTTTCTTTGGATATATAGTTATAGTTATCTATACTTATTTAGGTAAGCCAACCAGATTAATAGGACCTTCAAATCATTAAGAGGAATCTAAAGCAAAACCCTCTAAATCTCCACACTCCAAATGCAAACCTAAAATCCAGCTATTAACAAGGAATTTTAAAAGAAACTGAAAAAAGGATGCCACCATTACTAACCTGCCAGAGTAGCATAGGCCATGAACTACCATGCGTCAGGATGCCACCATACATTTTAATTTTTTTTTTATACTTAAAACTGTCAGGATTTAAACTTAATAATTGAAACTAAGAGTATATCAAATTAAATAATACTTAGAATATTGTATAAATGAAAGTTTCTTTTTAAGTTTACTGTATTAGATTTTATGTTAGTAACCTTAAACTAATTAAATGTCACTTTTGAAATCTCAAGGAAGCAGTTTATCTCGTTTCGAACCACATGGTAACATTTTATAACTTACACATTTTAGGAAAACTTTGTCATAAAAAAGTACACAAGTCCATGGCCTTGTAAAAATATTTTAGATTTATCCTGCAAAGTATCATCCATTAATTTAAAACAAAATAAAACTACACATGCATGTATATTTGTATTTTCCTTAGATCTATAATTATAAACACAACATAATAGCACAATACGAATATAACACGAAATAAACCGTGTTTTGGTTTAACCTAATCATGTTTCGTGTTTGTGTTTTAATTGTGTTGACAAATTAAAGACATGATAATTTTTATATATTAAATATATGTGTTAAATACGCTTAACACGATTATGACACATTTAATATGTTTACTTCATCATGTTGCATTTAATGTTGATGTATATCGTTTAAATTTATTATGATTGTTGTGGAAATTGAATGTATATTGAAAAACTGCTTATCTACAATTATACAAGAATCTTAGGTTTATATACAACTAACTAAGGGTTAAACTAGGAAACTAAATCTTCCTTAATTCTAGGGATACAAATACTTAATTCTAGAGATACAAATATAAATATACAGATTACAAGATTACAACCAGCTGTAAATAGGTGTTTTCCCACAATTGTCTTATATTGTGGTTGATGGTGACAGACATTATTAATTTGAAGATTTTTAACAAATTTATGGAGGATATGAAAGATGTAACCTTGAGAGTCAATGCCAAGGATAAGTTAAAATGGGAAAAGGACAAGAGGGGAAAACTCTCAGTCAAAGAATTAGTGAAGTCCTTGGACATCCAATATCTTTCTGCGAATAACCAGGTTCATTTCCTCTATACTTGGGAATTTAATGTCCCACCTAAAGTTGAAAACTTCCTCCGGCTTTCTTGTCAAAATTGTATTCCTACAAAAACTTTTCTGAGGTATAGAGGGGTTGCATTTGAGGAAGGCCAGTGTGTTTGTAATTGGTGTACAAATCTGGAGGAAGATTGTCTGCATGCATTATTATATTGTCGTTTTTCTTGAAATATCTGGTGCTGTATTTTTAGATGGTGGGGTATTGTATGGGTGTGTCCTAATAATGTGGAGGATAGTTATGTCAACAAGAGATGGCTCCATTTTATGGAGTGATCAACAAAAGGTTGTTATCAGCATGTGGGGCTACTTTTTGGGCATTATGGTTAGCTAGAAATAAGTCGGTGTTTGAAGGGAAAGGGTGGGATGGTGAGGAAATTCTTTTTTCGATTAAGTTGAGGTCCCTCTTTTGGGTTAAAGCTATTGTCCTAAGGTGTTGGAGAAAGGTTTGATAAAGGATAATCCAAGAGATGGGGTACTGAGGTCTTGCCTGAGTGTAAATGTTCTAAAATTTAATGTCGACAGATCTGCTTGCAGTAAGCCAGGTCCAGCAGGCTGTAGAAGGGTGCTCAGAGATGATAAAGGGAAAATTAGTGGTCTTTTCTATGGAGAACAAGAATCAAATATAGCTGATATTTTGGCTATAAAAATTGCACTAGATTTATTTACTCAAACCCCATGGTTCAAAAAGAATGCTCTTATACTTGAATCAGATTCAAAGGTGGCAATCAGCTGGGTCTGCATTATTGAAGCACAACCTTGAAAAACATTGGCAGACTCTTGATGAGATTGATAGGCTTAAGGAAACCATTGGTGTCATAGATTTTGTTTATATCTACACAGAAGCTAATGCTTTTGCTGATTCATTGGTAAAATGGGAGTTGAATGCAGTGCATTGTTCAAAGCATGGCTATAATATTCTATTCTCAAATCAGGTGGGGTTAGTGGTGATTTGAATTTTAAGATTTTCATTCTCGGAACTCTGTTCCATGACAGAGATGAACTCTGTGTAACTCATTATTTCTTCTAATGAAATTCAAACTTTTCATCAAGAAAAAAAAAAAACCTATTATTCTATTATATTGTTATAGTGGCTTTATAACTATTAATATTAAACTAGAATATAATTTGCAATGCACTGCAGGAGTTATGTGACATAAATGTTTTATCATGTAATGCTATACTATTAAGGTAAGAAATATAATAAAAAATAATGCAATAGTTCATTATACAACCACAATTTATCGTCAATTAAAATGAAATCATTAATTACTTAGACAATTGTTTAATTTTAAGGAGATATTAGTATGTTAATTGTTTAATTTTAAGGAGATATTAGTGTGTTTGTATTCATGATATCATTCTATAGAGATAGGAAAAATACAAATTTTTTTTTTGAACATATCGAATGAACATATATTGATCATTGCTTATCATTATCTTAAAAAAATGTAAAAGTATGTAGAGAAAAGACATTGTACCTTCATAACATTGTTGTGGATATCAATGTTCTCAATCTGAACAGTCTTTTCCCCAATGGAGATAGGAGCATCAAAGAAACTACCCAGCTCCAGCAGCAAAAGATATTGAATATGGACGTCAGAAAGGGAGAGGAGGAACATCATATGTTGGTAAATGAAAAGATACTTAATGAATCATACCTTGCTTTCACTTTCAGTGGGTTAAATCATGAGTGTAGCTAGATCAGGCCATGAATTGTAAGAGCATGGAATAGAGCATGGAATACGGCTGGCAACATTTTCATGCTTTATTCCAGCAGCAGTGGCTAAAAATTAGTCATGAAAACAAATAGTAGACTAAAGAGAGGCAAGTTGAAAAAATTGCATATTATTATTACCTTATAGACTCTCAAATCCACAATGAATTCATAAGCAACTGTTCCGTTGACACCATGAAAAAAAATTTGTGGTTCTGAAAACATAAATCAATTAACAATGACAAAGTTGAGATTATCATAGGAGCAATAATTCATAACCTTGAGCTTCTAGTTATTACTCTAATTTTACAATAATAAATACCCTTTATATAATTATAACAAAAAAGTAAAAGAAATATCCATGATCCTTGAAAGGACATTCAATTTGGAGGTTTCTAGCTCAAACCGTGCAGGGTTTATGATAAGCTGGAAGAAGTATACCTCTTGTTGTATAGTCCAAAGGCACAATAGGTGTTATTATATATTAAAAAAAAAAAATTAAAGCATACATGAGCAATATCACAATCATAATAAGAAAAAGCCAATTCTAAAGCTATGACACTTACTAAATTTGTAAAAGACATGTCATGCTTTTTTATAAAGATCAAAATGCACTTTAATTTTTACAGACTATAAGCACAAAGTTTCAAGGAAAAAGGTAGGCATCTCCAAGCTAAAACATATGAAACATAAAAAATAAAATTAAAACATATCTATTTGGATTTAAGTCATGTGTATTTATACTATCTAATAGATATGTAAACAAAAATATACTTCATTTACAGAAAGAGAAAGAAAGCTCAACTTGTTCCAATTTACTTATTCTATGGGGTTTCTTATCGGCTTTCTTGTTTCAGGCTCACGAACTCTTCCACTTATCTTTTTCCTAAGAATTCATTGAAAAACATTGAATATTATATCAAACAATTTTAAGTGGTATATATGCATGTACATTGTGGAATTTCCAAATGATCATCATTGTGTATGTATTATATCATGCATGAGTTTACTGCATATTCTCTAAAACCCGAAAAAGAAATAGATCAAGTATCCAAACGTCAACTGAAAATTTCCATGCGTCATGGAAGCAAATCATTTTATGCATGAAGATTTTCAATAATTAACATGAAGATTTTGAACGTTTATTTTAATTAAAGCAAAACTAATTGAATATTGATTTTTATAATTAGCATGAATATAGAAGATATCAAGCAAATTATATTATTTTATAATTATACTAATGCTAATTATATTTAACATCGAAAATCTTCAATATTCAAGCAAATCATTCAGTGGGAACATCGGAACATTTAATTAAAGTAAAGTATTATAAAAACAATATTAAGAAAAAATCGAAGAATAAAATGTTACGCTGAGATGATGAAGCGACTGGCGGTCCAGCAGCTTGCACCGGAACCCATACCGATCAGGATGCTTGTAACCACTCTAGCCACCAACCACCGGATTGATAGTGAGTTTTCGGACCCAGTCTAACGACCGTGGTCTTCGCCTCGATCTCCCATCTCCCTTCTCCATTCCCTTTTTTTTCTTTGTTCTTCTCCAGCCCTCGAGAATCAAGAAATTTCTCCAGAATCACGTAGAATCATGAAGGTTTTCTCATCTCAATTCTAAACGGTTTGGACGACTACCAGTCGAATCATGAAGCTTTTGTCTTCTCAGAAGCTTCTGATTGTTTTATTCTTAAAATCAACACCTTAAAAAGATCGAAACAACCATTTTATCCCTAATTCCTAATTAAGGGAAAAAATTTAAAAAAAAAAAAAAAAGAGAGCCATGTGTCAGACATAAATATCCTATTTAAAATTTAAAAAATTATATTTAATATATAAGATTACAATAAAAAAATATAATATTATAAATTAAATTGAATTAAATAATATTATTTTATATATTAAATTAAATTGAATAATATTAATTAAATAATATTATTTTATTTTAAGTTTGTATGTATAAAAATAAAAATAAAATAATTTATTTATTAATATAAATTATTTTTTAAAAATTTTATATAATATAAATTATTAAAATAATTTTAAATTTATATATTTTATTATATTTTTAAAAATTAGATTAATAATTTATCATTTTTAAAATTTATGTAATATAAATTATTAATATAATTTTAAATTTATATATCTTATTATATTTTTAAAATTATATTAATAATTTTATATAAATTTTAAAAATGATATTTTTAATCTATAAATAAATTATTTTATTTTAATTTTTACATAATTAAATATAAAATAATATAATATTATTTAATTTAATATTAATCATAATTTTATTTTATTTTATCAAAAATTTATGAACCAGACACGTCCAATATCGTAGCTAAATATGATTACGACAAAAGCACAAGTTGTCTCGTCTAATTTCAGCCACAACTGACGTTGTACAATTCTTTCGTGTTTTTAAATGTGTGATGACGAAAGGAAGGATGAGTCTTGAAAAAAATCATGAATGAAAAACGTGAAAGTGTTTTAGAAAGTTCTGGCAATGGCATTTATTTCAAAACAGTGTCGCATGCAAAAATGAAATTACTTAAAAACCGGTTGCTAAATGTACTTCAATATTTATTTTATATTTTTTTGAAAAGCTTTTATAAATAAAACTTTTTTAATTACTTTTTTTCACACGTTTTTAAATATCTATATTCAGTAAATTTTTGAACTTATAAAAATAAATTTTCAAAAAATAAAAAACATTTTCAGAAAGGAGGGAATGAAAGTTTAAGAAAATTTTTAAAAAATAAAATTTTATTAAAAATTTTTATTAAATAGTATAATGAAAAAATTATTCTTAAAAAATTATCAATTTTTAAATTAATAAAAAATAAGTTGATTTTACTATTTTAATTTTAGATAAAAAATAAAATCTTATAAAATCTTAATTAAATATTTTATCTTTTAATGTTACAAAAGATGATAAAAGTAACTATTATGTTTGAACAACATCTTAAAATTAAAACTTTTAGAAATTATACAAGTAATATTACTGAATAAAATATAATTTTATCAAAATATAATATGCTAACTAAATAAATTTACCGTGATAAGTAGATTGAAACACTTTTTCAATAAGTTCAATTTAAATAGAGTTACTATAAAAATTTAATAATCAATACCAAAAAATAATTATTTATTAAAACATATGAATTTTACTATTTTAACCTTAGAAAAATAACAAAATCTTATAAAATCTTAATTAAAATTTCCCTTATTGATTTTATAAGGAATGATGAAGGAACTATTAAGTCTTATCAACATTAAAAGTTGAAATTTTAGAAGTTGTACACATCATATTATTGAATATTATATAATTTTGTCAAAATATAATATATGCTAATTAAATAAATCTATCATAATAAGTAGATTAAGATACTTTTTCAAAAAAGGTCAGTTTAATTAGGGTTATTATAAAATTTTAATAATTGATACCAAGAAAAAATATTTATTAAAAAATAAAAATTTTAAAATTATAAGAAAAATAAAAAATAATAAAATTAATTTTTTTTATTAAGTTTAAAATTTAAGATTTTTTTCTAATAGTAAATTTTTTATTAACACTAATTTAAAATTTTTATAATAATTTTTTTATAATTTTTCTTAAATTTTCATTCCCCTCTTATCTGAAAATAGATTTATGAAAAGTTATGTAACTTTTTGAAAATCTGTTTTTGAAAAGTTATATTATTTTTTAAAAATTTATTTTTGGTAAATAAAAAAATTTATCATATACAAATATTTAAAAACTTGTGAAAAAAATAATTAAATAATTTTACTTATAAAAGTTTTTAAAAAAATGAGGGTGTGTAGAATAAATGTTGGAGTGCATTTAGCAACACTATTACTTATTTGATACTTTTACCACATTATTTTGATTCATATATAGGAATGGATGTTGTCTATTTAGCCAAGACAGAACATAGAAAAAAAAAAGCTTTTATGTTATTTTTAAAATATATTTAAAAATATTACAAGGTTAGTATAACAATAATTTTTTAAATATAACTGTGCTTAAATTAATGGATTGGATATGATTAAATTAGGGTACAAGCATGATAAATATGAAAGTAGAGAAAATTATCTTTAATTCATGAGATTAAATTTATATATTTTATTATATTTTTAAAATTATATTAATAATTTAAATTATATAAATTTAAAAAATACTTTTAATCAATATATAAATTATTTTGTTTTAATTTTTGCATAAATCAAATATAATATAAGATATTTTATTTTATTTATTTTATTTTATGTATATAAGAATTTTTTTTTAATAAAATTAATAAATTCATCAATTATATATATATATATATATATATTATAAGTAGACATCTTAAGGAAAGAGTCATGATCCTCCACTGATTGTATTCTTAATTATTAATAAATATATAATTGTGTTTCTCTGTGGCAAAATAGAGGTTTATACCATCGGACATCGGGAACGCAGTTGACAGAGTACGGGTGCTGCCACCTCTCGAAGTTGTATTCTCCAACAAAAGAAAGATCAGAAGGGTGATGGAAGCAGCCGAAATCCCATACACTTTTGTGTCTGCAAATTCATTTGCCGCATATTTTGTTGGCTATCTTCTTTGTCCACACGAGACACAACAAGATGAAGCTGATGTTTACGGCAATGGTAAGGCAAAAGGTGGGTAAAGAAATTTGATAGACTGTTGTTACATCTTAAAAAAGGTTAATTACATTTTATATCTGAAATTAGAAAAAATATATAAATTGATATTTAAAAAATAAAAAAAAATTTATACCTTATACCTTTAAATTATTAGGTTAAAATGTACCATAAATTCTTATATTTTTTTATTTTTAAGAATTTAATCTCTCTAATCTAATTTAAAAAAATTTAGTTATTGTATTATTATTTTTTAAGAATTTCAATCCAATGTTAATAGGATTAAATTTTATACGTTTACATGATTGAGATGACTGCGAAAATAGCATTTTCATTGGTTTATATTTTTTTATGCTGACGTGGATTAAAATATTGGCCACGTCAACTATTTAAACAGTGGATAAGTTTTCTTACCGTCCAAATATTATTTTTTATTTCATTTCGTTCCTTTTTTTCATAAAACAAATACGCCAGCCCTCTTAAAAAAAAGTTTCAAATCTCAGAAAATCGAAAACTTCTCAACCGTTGCATCACTGCGCCGATCACTGCAACCACCGCCGTCGACTGGCATCTATTTGAGCCCAAATTTTTACTGGAGCTTTTTCCTGGCCCCCTCTTCTCCGTTTCAAGCTCAGATTTTTCCAAAATAGCCAAGACCTACCTAGATATGAAATCTAAAACTAAAATTTAAGCCGTAAAATCTCCTCCTTCCACCATACGATCCTTTAAGATTTTGATAAGATGCTACCTTCTTCTCACTCTTTGTTTCTACCGTTCCCGATCGTCCAAAGTTTTAGTCGCTGTGGATCTCTCCTATATTGTCGTCCCTCCTACCATTGATGATGGCCCCTTGTTTGTCTTTCCTTGTTGCTCATTTCTTACTTCTCTATAAATCCAAACCAAACCCACCTAAGAACAACTCTAAACCCACGAAGCTATCTCTTTTCCAAACCGAAGTTGTTATTTATATATATATATATATTTTATTTTTATTTTTATTATTATTATTATTATTATTATTTATTATTTTTTTTTTTTTTTGCTTGTTGGTGATGGGCATTTTGTTGGTAGATGGGGTGCTGATACTCTGGGCTGGTTCGACAGTTTCAATTGGGGGTTGCCATTGGTGGGTGTTGGGTTAGGTAGCGTCTTTTTGGTTGTGGGAAATGGTTTCACAATTTTGATTTGGGATTGGATAACGAATGAGACCAGAGGATTTGAGAACAAATGATTTAGGTTCTTTCTAATTTTAGGTTTCCCGGTTTTTCTTTCTCTTTTTTGTTTTGATTTTTGAGAGTTTTTTAATAATATTAGGAATTATTAAATATAAGTAATATTTGAAATTAGTTGTTAATATTGACGTGGAATTTTGTAGTCATGTGGCCATTATTTTAATCCATGTCAGCATTAATAATTTTAAAAACCAATGAAAGTACCACGTCAGCAACTTAGTCAGTAATTTAATTTATAAAATTTAACACTATTAACAATTGAACTAAAATTCTAAAAAAAAAATAATATAAGGATTAAATTTTTAAAATTAAATTAGGAGACTAAATTTTAAAAAATATAAGAGTATAAAGACCTATGATAGATTTTGACCAAATTATTACATTAATCCAAACTCTACTTCCATTAATCATATCAGTTTATATATGCCATGTTTGACACACATTACCAATTTGTGTTCAGTACATATATTATCAAAATCCATTATTCTATATAAATTAAAAGTATATATTTTTTATTTGAATCGTGAAAATTATTTAGAGTTGATCAATTATTTTTTATTATATGATATACACATAAAAAAAATTAAATTTAACATTTTATTTAATAAATAATATACATATAACAAAATTATAATAGCTAGATATTATATAGGCAAATTAAGTTAATAATATTAAAATTAAAATTAAAATAATACATTATTTGAATGTTTAGAGTGTAAATTATATATTTTATTTATTTAATTAACAGTTTATAACATCTTCTCAAAGTTCAAGTAAAAAAATAAAATTAATTTATCTTAAAATGATTAAATGAGTATTTAACCTTCCTTTGGATCATTGCAATTAATTTGCGCTTGAGAGGAAAAGACGGGCCATGCCT